CATATCGGCCACGAGAGAAAGTGGAATCAAGCGAAAGCTATTCTACTTGGATCAGCAAAACTAGTGGAAAATAACATGGTACGATAAAATTTTTCTGTTTTTTGAGTCATCCATTTTAATGACCAGCTCATCCGGGAGGTTAGAGATTGATAAATTGCAAGGAAATAGACGGGGAGCGTGGTCGCTGCTCGGCGCCTGATCCAAGTCGTTCATCGATCAACAGCCGTCGATCAAGCGGAAGAAAATGCATCCATACCCTTAAAATAACATTGATGCTGTGGATGAGAAGGGTGCTGTGTCATCACGGCACTTCCAAAGGTCTGCCAATGCCCACTGGCCGCAAGCGGGCGAGTCTAGTCTAACTGAGAGGGCATACATATTTCGTTCGTCTGAATTGAAAAGACGACTAACACCTGAGGGCATTTCGGTACCATAAAAAGTAGCGTTGATTTCTTTAGTCAACTGCTTGCGGAGCTCTCGTTGTTGCTGATGAAAGACTGTCTTCTATTTTACTCGCTTTCCTATTATCGTTTCTCAGTGGGAAACAGCATCGATTGTTGGAACATGTGCTCAAATCCTGACTCGTGTTCCAACAATAACTATTACTAAAGTTTCCGATCGCATGAGTTAGTTCCGAGAGAGATGCGTAGATCAGACGGAAGAAAAGAGAGATGAGATAAAATTAGATTGAAGCGGGAAAACGTCTTTCAAAAATCATCCCTGCTATGCACGGCGAGCTTGCGCGAACGAAACTATCAATGGGTAAATAAACACCTACCTCGACGGCTGGGACCCGTGACAGTTGGTCTAGCTGGCGAACGACGGAATGGTTTTCGTTTAATCAGGCGGCAACGCTGATAATGTTCGACGGATGGAAGGGGGAATTTTTTTGTTGTGGATAGCGAACGTATGGTAAAATCAGCGGTAATACAGCGTTCGATTATCTTCTGGAAAATGGAGCTGCTGGTACTATATTTTCTTAAAAAAGACTCTCTTTTGCTTTTCTGTCAAGGAGTGTCTCTTACCCCGAAAAGATCTGCCTACATTCCCTTACCCCATGCCGTCACTCTTGACTGAAATGCCTCGGGGCATTACGTTACAAATTGTCTCAGGGGTTTGACTATTCGTAAGACGAATTTAGAGCTGAATCGACCCTCAATTTTTATATGCTTTGGGTAGCTCTTCCTTGCCTCCCGGATGGTTGCTACAAGCAATTACTGAAGGATAAAAAATATTTCGAAAGGAAGGTTCGGTGATGAGAAGTCTAGAGCCTGATGGACGTTAAAAGTCTTAGGTTTGATCGAATTGCGGGCATAAATGCTTGAATGATATTAGTCCAAAGATTAAGAGGCATCGGCCCGTACCGTTTGTGGATATCCGGAACAATTGGTCGAAAACGATTGTTCCCAACGATTTAAGTCAACGGCATTTATAATTGAAAATTAATAGTTGTCAATTTAAAACTGCGTCGTAGTTAGCCTTTGTTTACGTCAGTTTGAGGCTATAGAAAGGCTGTCGCTGATTTTTAATGGTCCTACTACCAAGTTACAATAAAAATAACGCAAATATCGAAATCGGTATTCGACCACTGATTTGATTGATATTAACTGAGAGAGACGAGCTTTTTTGCCCCATCATTAACACGATTGTGTAATTATCCTTTGGGCCACTGCATACGACCGCATACATACTAACCAGATTTGACTGAAGTTTATGCTTAAACAAAAAATAATAAAGACCTGGATGGAAAAAAGAGCCCTCCCTTTCTATGTACTGTGCTGCGATTAGAAGCACCGAAGACAAACAGAGAATGGAGCAAAAGATTTGGCTACTAAAGCGAGTTCTAGTGCATTTATGTGTGCATGGGTGTGCATGTGTGTGTGTATACTTTCTGCCGAGAGCTAAAAGCGCTAGATGCAGCTGGCCGGGTACGGCTGTAGAATCAGCGGCCGCAGCCGTCGTCCAATTTTGTCGGGGAGTCGTCGAGAGACCTGAAAGCGTTTTTTCTCAAAGGCTCTTCCGCTTGGCTTGACCAAAAGTGTCGGCCGTCCACTCCATCCCGCACAACAATAGAAACTATGGCATAAATATATAATACTCAGATCTTTCGCTACTAGCGGCCAGTCATCGCGACCATCAGCGGTCCAAGCAGCACGGGATGTACTACGGCGGCGACGGCGGCAGTAGTATTTAGCCGCATGGTCCAGTCCTCGTGTGCCTGCTACCTGCACGCCTGCCTGTTCGTTTGTCTGGCTACCTCGCACACGCGCACATGCCGTCCGAGGCGTTACGGTTTGTTCGTTCCGTCCTCCCATAATCTTCTTCTTCTTTGCCGTCTTTTGTTGTATAGGTTGTAGTTCACCAAATCTCGCATCCGGAATGACCCTACAGAAATCCACGAATCGAAAACTATGTATACTTCATCGTCGTCGGTAGGTGCTGCTTCGGCTGCCGCCGCTGTGCTCACTGTTCACCGCCGGCAGCACTCCTATCTCTGTCGGGAGGCAAGACAAAAAGGCGAAAAGCACCGCAGCCACGCAATAACAGACTATACAAAAAGACAGAACACGACGACCAACAACAGTGGCTACAGCAGGTAGTAAAAAAGCACTCTATTGAAACAGAATCATACACACACACACTCACTCACTCACTCACTCACTCACTCAATCAGTCACACAGGCGAAGATTTCTGCATATAGTGACTCGAATTTCTCACAGGAAAAAAACAACCCAAGCAGAAGCCCGCGAGCCCCGCGCCACTTCGACAAACACTACGATATATATATACACGTGATGCTAACATTAGGCAGACACGCATATATATAGATAGACATAGGGCCGTGGCACGAAAATGAACATCGCAACGGCGGGGGGATGGCTGAATGAGCAAAAACGAATTTCGCGCACAATACCACGCTACTAATACTACTAGAGTCACGATTAAGACGCGTACTCTGTTTCGTCGCCATCTAGCGTGCCGCTGCGAGCCACTGCTACTTTAGCTGCCGTCGTCGGTGCTTGCAATAACTCCGTTGACAACAAGAATAACAACATCGGTAAACAGAACCGTCTTACGTTTGGCAATAGAGGTTCTATTACAACAGCATCAACGGGTATTGAAAGGCTAAACAGCCATAGAGGTGACAGAACTGCTGCGTCGATCCGATGTCCAATGTCTGGCGACGGTAGAGCGGACGAAGGCGTCCTAACAATAGCACCAACGACAACGTCAACAAAAATTCCAACTAAAGAAGAATCGGCGAACGGATTGTCCCCAAACGGGATATGGCCCTCACGGTATCCGGAACATCGGCAACGGCAATGGCGTCGGGCTAGCCGTGTCGCATTGGTGCCAGTAACACGAGGTTGGTCACTATCGCCATAACGGCAGCGGAGGCATCCAAAGCTTTGTGTCGCCCGTCCACTTGACTACATCTGGCTCGGGCGCGAATATCGGTGGCGGCGCGATGCCGTTTGCTACACACGCAAATACACGAGAATTACATGAATACCTACAGAAAGTGCTGCTTGTACCACCATCGTCAGTTGTGGCTTTCGGCAGTAACACTCATCTGTCTGCGCGGCTGAAATTGCTACTGCTCCGACCGCGCGGAGCTGATGAACGGGAAGCGGTACCTCCATCCACCTTATAACTTTCATCTCGTAATATATACATGCATATATATGTCTGTCTAAAATGGCGTCTCTTTCTCTTTTCCCAACAGACCGGACGGAGTGTCTATGGGCAGTCTGGCCTAGTGTCGCAAAATGTGTCATATATATGTATGTACGTCGGTCTATCGTCGCTTACCTGGTCGTCACGGCGAACATTGTCGTGGACGCGACGCCTCTCATGTCAAGGCATGTAAAGCCTTTTATGTTTATGTCTATTGACTACTCTACGAACACTTCTTCCAGAACGCCCGAGTGGTGGATAATGTTATTACTATTATTTATATGGATGTACGTACATATAGCTCAGTGGAGTGGCGAACTGGGGTAGAGCGCCCCAAGGAGGCGACATGATAATGACTGAGACGGAGAGCTACATCCGTTTGAAGAAGAACAGGCACCGATGGTAATGCGTTCGTGCTGTCCCATAGTGTCGGTCAGTGTGTTCCGCAAAATGACCACGCAGACATCGTCGCCGACGCCGCCATATTGTTCCCTCCATTCCATTATAGACCACCGCCAATGCTATCATGCTATAAACTACAACGACGATGGTGATAACGTGGCGTTACTACGGGACTCCTATCCTCACCGTTCTTTTCTTCTTCGACTTCGTTTATAACTACATATGTGTAAGGGATGCGTAAGATCTTTATGGAACACAGCATTTTGCTCATCATTCTGGTGTTCGTCTGTTTTGTTCGAAGTGTAGACTATAGTTATATATGTGGGGAAAATATTCAGAAGCAAGATGTTCTCAGAAGTACACATAAAGGAAATGCAAAACACTTGCACACATACATAAATATATAAGTGTAATAGAATATATATATATATATATATATATATATATGATTTGAAAACTTACGCCTTTTGTATCTGACATCGCTAACTTTGTCGGTGTGTGGTAAATTGTTTTTCTACTACCTTTTGACGGTTTGTCTGTTAATTCAAGTTACTCCATTTGTCGTCGTAGCTATTTCATGTGCCATATTCGTTTGAGACTCTTCTAACGGGAAGGTCAGGGTTGGAAAGGCGTTGAAAAATGGAAGTGATTAGGTACCTGGGAAAGTATAGAAAGTAGAACCGCATAATCTATATTTTAATAACAAATTGGACGATCAACACAGAATAGCAGTATGCACCTCTGCCAAATCGCATTGAATCTGTATCGGTGCATAATGACCTATGAATATAATAGTACGGATTCTATTTAGGGACGGAGCTTCACCTGGTATACTTTGAGTAAGATTTAGTAGGTAAGTGAGACTTAGTCCAGCTCCATTTGCTATCTTATCTATCTACTTATTCACGAGATTCTTTGATATCAGTTCAATACTTCACCCATAAATAGTCCCTTTCGGTCAAGTGGCTCCGCTGTTTTATCTGTCGATGCATGCGTATGCTATATTTATAGGGCGTGTATTTTTTTTTGTCCTAGTTATTGTATTGTTCTTGGCGCGTTATGTAATACATGGCCAATGAGCGTCACCACGTAGCCGAAGGCGAGTTGGTCTCATGGCGTCGACAATCGACACTGTCCTATCATGTCAGGCGAAATTGTAGCAACAATAATAGATACAACCACAAGCGCACTGTTCTACGCCGCTGTTTTACCTCACTACCCTCATGAGTGCGTATCCTTGTTTTATTTGATCCGGGCAAAAATCGTTCTGTCTGCGTTACGCTACCTCCGTCGCAGCCGTCATTTGTTGTCTGCGTTGCATTTCGACCTTGGCTCGACCTCCAGTCACACCGAAGACTCGGCCGGTGAGCGTACAACGCTGATACGGATCCACACACACAGACGCACGTACGCACGAGCAGACACAGACGGACGGAATAGCAGAGCTGACGGTGCCGTAGATATAAGTACACTCATCGACATCGCTGCTGTTACGTTTCTGCTGACGTCTGCTACTGTTGTAGCCACGAACAGACAGACCGCACAGCCGGCCGAGCGAACGAGCTGGCGATCAACGGCGACTGACGACCACTTCTGATGTGGGACGTCGACTTGATAACAGCCCGCAAACCGGCGACATCCGCGAAAAGCGAAGTAGTTCGTAAACATGATTTTCCGTGGGGGCTGTGGACGCAACGCCGGAAAGCTTCTGCTTCTGCTCCGACGGTGGGACCGGTTGGCCCAGAACATGGAGAACGGCATCCAGAAAACACGAAGGTCCCACCCGCTTGCCGCCGCTAGTCTTTGTTTGCTTGTTGCGCTAAGTTTGAGCTTGTTGTATGGCGTAATCACGCCACTTGTGGGGCCACTTAGCGTGCAAATGTCGCTGGCCTGGCTTGCGCTCACTGATTGGTGTTGCCAACCCAATGCAACGAGTCGATTTCGGGCTGGGGAGAATGGAAGCAGGCATCGGAAGACGTAAATGTTGGGCACGTTCTTAGATTATCGGAAATCGTTCCGATAACGCTGTTTCTGCTGCTGCATTCGTTGTTGTTATTGGTATCGCTATCCTCGTGACAGCCACTCATGAAAATAATAAAAAGCGATAAGGCACGGACGGTAAAAAAGGGCCAAACAGGTGACCGATTCACAATATTGGAGCTAAAATTTACTTGAAAAACAACTGAATAAGAAGACGCAGAAATTCGACGAATCGATAACGCTTGCGCATGGATGATGATGATACCTTTACCGTTAAATTTTGCCAGAAGGGGGCTTTCCACCCGTCTGTTGACAGCCGAAAGGGCCTGAGGAAGGAGCCGTCGCTCCTTCCTCAGGCCCTTTCGATGCTAACTATGCAGCAGTGTTCCTTATTTTATATATATATCCTTGAAAAAAGAATTTGCGTGCTACTGAGCCTTGTAAACACTGCACTATTGATTTGTACTCACTTTTCCTATTCTTTGATTTGATTAAATTCACTTCAGTCAAGTACGGGCATCTTGTTTGGTCTGATTTACGTGCAGCTCCGTCAGTCTCTCTGTCCATCCGTCCATTTGTTCGTCTGTGCATCTCGTCGCTGATAAAGACTGCCGTCAGCATAATCTTTCTGGACAAAAAAGAAAATGGTTAGCTAACAAGTCAGATCGTTGTGTTTTTCCTTGGAAGAACTACCGAACCACTCACGCATAGTTCCCATTCGAAAACATTTGACGGGCGCGCTGATGTCTGAAAGCATCTGCGTCGTTTGCCGCTCACCCATCATCGTTGTTACTAGTCGTGTAGTAATATTATAGCTGGTAAGGAAATGATAGCAAAAATGGTTCAGCTTTAGTTTCAGTCACTGGTTTAGCATCGAGCGCCAGCGCCATCAGGTGCAGTAGCATTAACTGAAGTAACGCCTGTCGCGCGAGCATTATAGCATAAGGAAGCTATCGGTCAGTGGGGCGGCTCGGCGCGTTGCGCTGATCAGAGAACGTGCTGGCAGTAGGAATAATAACCCCTCACAGTCTCAAGACTCCTCATACGGTGGTGGTCGGCTGGTCATTGTTTGGCCATCGCTGGGAATGTAACGCGCTTCGCTATAATTGCAGCAGCCACACTCTCCCTGCTCGTTTCTTCCTCGTGCCACGGACCAAAGGCCGTTGTCATCCATCGGCAGTTGATGCCGTTGGTGTCACTACCGTTATAGTCAACAGTGAATGGTGGCCGTTAGGCGATCGAACGTGATAAAGATATCGTGGCAGCATGTCTTAAGATTACGTCCATGTCTTCGTCCGCGGTTTGTTTTTGATGTCAATCGTTTAACAATTGCGGTTGCTGGTGCAGTGGCCAAAGAGTGCAATAGTGGCTCGTTAGCTGTTGGTTTCAATACAAACGCCGCTGCGAAACGGCCCGGTCGTCAGGACGGGCTTGTCGGCGTCTGAAAACGCAACGTTTCAATGGACGCAACAAACAACGCCAATACTGCTGCGAAGCTTGTTCTGTATCGTATCCATGGTGTATGGCGGCCGTTTACGAACGCTCCCAAAAGTCGTCTGTCGTTGACTATCATTACCAAAATCGCTGCTACTGCTACTGCTACTGCTGAGACGGTTATTGTTGCAGTCACGGCAAAAAAGAGGATTGATTTGAACAAAGCCTGCCTTCATCCACGGTCCGCTAACTGGCAACTGCCATCGATTCTCAAGTCCTGCTAATAGCTTCGGTCCAAGGGATCGCGCCCACTACAAGCAACAGGATACTGCGGAGGCACGGTGGCATCTATTCCAGTTATATACTTTTTATGTCGATGAATGTTGTAGTCCTCTAATCGCTAGCGATACCGGACATATCTGATGAAAAGTGGGATCGTCGTAGCTGCAGCTCAGGGACTTCTGCCGCTGTTAGTACTTTTATTGACGTGGCTGAATGTCTCCACTGTCGCCTGATGGAGCTAAACCGATTTGAGTTTCGAGAACGGCATAGTTGCAAAAGCTATTTGAACAGAGCAGAAAGCAGTGCTCGCTTTCTAAAATACACTTTAATCGGTCGATCGATGGCAGTAAAACGTCCCTCCAAAACAATGAATACGTCGGCGGGAAACGCGACAACCGAAATCAGGTTCTCATACATTCTAGAACCTGCTTACATCCCGCCTCTACTACTCGAGGTTCCGTCGGATGTTGGCCACTATGCCACAGCAAAAGTAGATGTCAGCCAAAAAATGACGTATTGACATGGTCAGTGTTCGACCATATTTAACTTACCTACTTGGTCTGTTCGGTGCTTCTCTGGCGATTTCTCGATGAATGAAGTTATTTAACTAGTAGGAGGATAACAATCGAAAGATAGGCAATTCATTAAAAAAAAACAACGAGGGTGGAAGGGGACGCGCGAGATAGAACGAGACGAAAAACGCGCTGGTTGATGATGCCATAGTGGCAATTTCGGCAGATCCAATTGTGCCACCTAATCGTGCTTAGAAATCTGGGTCTACCTCTGCAAGTTATTATAGCAATAATATTTCCGACGACAACATATACAGTAAGAAGGATATTGGTGGATGTTATATTAAGCAATAGGAAACACTTTATTAGAGTAAAATCAGTGAAAATTTTGCAATACGGTCTTGTTACCGGTGGGGCACCGTGACATTAGCACTGGTTGATTGACCAATGCTGGCGTTGTATCGGAAGTCGAAGGTTTGTACAGTCACAGTCCACGCTGACCGTTCACCTGTCATCTGCAAAGGTCGTGTTTACCTGATTTTTCTACTCTGATTTTTGTGGGTAGCCTATTTTTTGGTATCGTGAAAGCCAGTTGCTTTGTGACTGATACCTTATTTCTTATAAGCAGCTTATCAAACAAAAACGGGGACTCGGACGCTGTGAAAGCAGCCTAGAGTACACCTTTAGAACACATTTTAGAAACCTCAGAAACCACCTAGTTTTCGGCAGTTGTTGAAGTTTTCGTATTTATTCAACGTTAAAAGAATATTCGGATTGGAACACCATGATCGCACTGCTATGATGAGAGAAAATGCCATATTTTTCACGATATTTCTGCTCACGATATCGCAGATGGTAACGTTGTTTCTTTGGCAGCCATGACGATGGTGTAGCTTCTTGCAACAGCTGCAAATATAAATGCTAGAAGGAACATACCCGTTTTGTCCTACTGAGAGCGGCCGAACGTGGTCATTTCTTCTCATCAACGCAAGTGGAACGCAAACGCATGTGTTTCAAGCCATGGTCCTCAAATACGAGGGCCTACTTCAGTAAAGAGTAACTTTTATAATGGCTTATTTCGCCCTATTTTCCGCCATCGATTCGTTCGAGCATTTTCTTCGCGATATCGTCTAGTTCATTCCCGACGCCCCACACCGCCTGTTCATCGATCGAAGTCCTTCGACTAGTGAGTCTTCTAAGCTGTTCTTCTGTTTATCATCATCGTTTGACTCCGAAGTGACGCTACCACATAACCGAGTCAGTATGTACGTACGTAGTTAGTATGTCGGACAAAATGCCTGTCTCCATCGCTGCCTCAAATAAAGGTCCAGCTGCGAGCTTATTCGCATCGATCCGGTTGGATGTTGCTGAATGCTTCCGGGCAGATTAGTCCCAACGGTCTGACAGGTTCGCTGAGGGAAAGCGCGGTGAATCAAGAGGAACTAAGTAGAAAAAGCAATGAAGTGAAAAACGTAAAATGTATTTATATAAAGCAAATAACAAAAAATCGCCTGTGTTAGTATCTAGAACAAGCAACAGCTGGAGAGTCAATATGGATATTGATAAGTAGTAACAAGGAAGAGAAAACGTCGAAGGGCGGGATCACTGATACCGGCATGTAGGTAGCAAAAGTCAAAACGAAGCGGTTCAACGTACGAAACCTCCTCCTCGAGGAGCTATAAAGAGATGCACTCAATGATTCCTTTACGGACCGTAGTGAACGAGATGATATCAAATATAGGCGATAGAGACAAAGTAATAAAATACTCAAAAAAAAAAAAAATATTATAATGGTTCAGAGTGTTTAGTTGATAGGCGCCTAACGTCAAGTAACCATTACTGTTCGCCAAAGGTTTCAGTGATCAAAGAACGGCTGAAAGGCAATTTTATAAGCTCGAACGACCCCATCCCCCCCGCCCCCACCCCCCAAAAAAATGCTAAAGCCAATGTTTCAGCGCGTCTTTTGACGCTGTCTGCGTAGCTGACTGGTGCACGTTCCGACACCATATTGCGAGAATTAAGCCAGCCTGCTTAGCATACACGTTCGAGCACTAGCGGCTGGCGAAAAGAATACGACATGGTATACGTGCCATGTCGATCGAGCTGTCATTATACCACTCCTATTAGAACCGAAATGTTTTGAATTTTATGCCCGATAATACGGCCGTTAAGCATCGACTTAAACTTTGTAAGTACCAAAACGTACTTACTAAGTGTTTCTATTGCCATACAAAAGACGCACGTGGTGAAGGGGTCGGTATAGCGGCAATCTCAAATAGAGTATACGACAGAGAGCTCGTGCATGCAAACGAATGGGTAATATATATATATATATATATATATATCTGTAATTAGATCGAAGTGACAGTATTTCACTAGAAGGCGATGGGGCTAGCCATCATATTGCACTACGTAAATTCTTAATAATGCTATATTATCTATTATGCCTGTTCTTTCTCTAACGGAAACTAAAGTTTACTGCATGCGTTGAGTAGATCATGTTTGCTGTGGGAAAAAACAAAAAATAAAAGATAATCTTATAAACATGCACAACAGTGAACGCCTCAGCGACAATTGACCCCACTTCGATGACCATCAGCTCTGCGCTTGGCCGATGTCGCTGTTTGTCGTCCGTCTTGCCTCGTTTGCCTTCTGCCAATCTGAGTGTCGTGCATACACTTCGGAAAACGTTCACACGCTTCCGTAAACGGTTCGCCATTGTGTCAAATCAATTAATCGATCAGTCAATCATTTTGTGATCCGATTCTGCCGTTTAATACAATATGCAGACGAACTTCTGATTGAGCCAATCTCACACGTTCTGCTGTGCCATTTTGGCAGTACCTGTTTGCTGATTGATACGTTCATTGATTAAGACATTTTCCGCTGTGTGGTTGATCGGCTCGGTAAATGTCGTCTCCAGCGCGTGACCTAGGCAATCTTGTAATTAACTACAGGAAATGATGAACGTTCATGTCTAATTATGGATAGAAAGAAAAAGCCATTGTATAGTTTAATGATGAATAATCTTACCGAGGTGTCAAAAAATTCGTACGCATTTAATCCAATTAAGGTGCGACGTCGTTCAAGGGCAAATATACCATAAAATAGTGTGCAATTTCTGTTTTTAAACCGCACGGCAACGTTCCACAGGAGAAATACGCTTTGCCCTTGTAACCTTACGCGATTTGGCGCTCATCCATCGTTTTTCAAACTGTTCATAAGAAAAATCAGAATTTCATTAAAACAATATGGAGTTATTTAGCTCACACTACCTGTGCTGCGATTCGAGGCCTGCTTTTTTGTGCATTTTTCCTATGTCCTTAAGTACGATCAAAGACACTAAAATCAAGGCAGAGGTGATGTTTTTTTAATACCCGCTATAAAAATGTTGCTTAGCTAGGCCTCGAACTACTTCACAGGGACCCGTTTATTTCCGCGATGAAAATGGATTGGATACGAGAAGTTCGCGTGTAAGGACCGAAGAAAATCCATTTTCTTCTTTAGACATCAACCCTGCTCGTGAACGTTAGTGACGCTCTGAGTTGCCGTAAAGTGTCGGTCAACAATGTTTGTAGTCTCTCAAGTATATGTATATACATATACCTGTAGGTATAG